CTTAGTTTTTAATAATAATTTACTTAATAAAAAGAGAATTATATTCACTGAGTACATTTATATCATTTTAAAATAAGGTAATTTACATTACTCAGTACGTCCTTTTTCAAATTCGATGTCTTTGTGGACCGGTGTATCGATAAGCCAAAGTATTGCCTTATTAAACTCAAAGTTATCATTAAATATTTTTTTAATTTTTCTTTGCCGTACATAAAAACTTTCATTAAAGTCTTCATTTCTGCCAAATGAAATGAACTCAGGCGACTCAAGAGTCAGATAGTGTTGAATTTATTTTGATAGAATATTGAATTAGTGATTAGGTATTTTAATAACGTTATATTATTAAAATTGTTAGCACATTACGTAATATTTTATATTACTTATAATGTAACAGAATAATTTAAGATAAGCACAAATAATATTACGATAATCATAGTTTCTTTTTAAGATAGAAGATCGATGACAATTCTCATCTCGTCTGCCCGTGATGACGCGTGTACTCTTATATTGTTAAACATAATTATTAACGAGTAGTAAATCTGAAAAATATTTGTTTTATTTCATTGAGTACTCGCGAAAATGTTAGATGTCATTAAGATCTAGATATTTTAACTTGTGAGATAAATTCATGCGTATCTTGTTATCAACATAAAACTATGGCATTATGCAATTAAGTGATTTAATTATTTTTAAATAAGACCAACATTATTATCAATACATAACATAATTACATATCAGTAATTATTAGTATTAGTATATTTCTGTTTAAATGTTAACTCATAAATTAAATAAAACCGTGGAACAGGATAACAAAAAATACCTTTTATAGTTATTCAAAATATAAAACTATCAGTATGTTCATTTGAGAAACAATTTTATACAAATAAGTTAAAACGATAATTATCTTAAGTATCAAAGCTATCAATAAACAACGAATACTTGGGGATAATATTATTTATTAGGCTTATACGAGTCACTGAACTTGTCAATATGTTGTTTAAAACATTATTTTTTAATATATATTTATATATTTATTTTTAAATTGTTTTTCCAATATATTATCGGTTTTTCTGCTAAGCTTTATAATCTATTGCGAATTCCATTTGCTTGAAGAGATTTTTTATGCTTAGTAATACAAATCGTCGTTATTCTTAACAATAATTCCTTATATTTTCTCAATTTTCATTACGTCACAGATAAAATTAATTATTACAAATTTAATTTTGTAATCAAATGAGTGGCTGTATTGGTATATATAATAAATATAATAGTCAGAATAAATGTAAATGTTACCGTCGGAAATACAAAGGGAGAACCACGAATTGGGTGTCGAAAAATCACAAATATAAAAGACAATTTGCTTAATAAGAATAGAAATAAACAACATTTAAGTTGGAAAGGAAGGTGACGGAATGAAAACTGTATTTGTAGAAGTCAGGTGACAGTGAATTTATACCTTTGCCTAGTAATAATAAGTAAAAACTTGTTATTTTCATTTATAAATTATGCTGGTAAATATTATTATTGGTCTTTAGAAATATTTACTGCTTTCCAAGAAACAAACTCGGTAGAATATTTATAATTTATAAATAAAAACTAATAAAGAGACAAGCTTTCTGAAAGTTACTATCCTAATTTAGTCTTTAGTAGAATTTAAATTTCTGCTTTATATAATTTTTTCTGGTCCGATTAAAACTTTTGTGCCCGCCTTTACCGTTTTTTGTTCCAACACACTGCATCGGCCCTGCTGGCATTTCACGATTTTTAATTATCTTTGCAAACTATTCTACAAAACTACTGATGTAACTGCCAGAATTATAGTCAGTAAATTATTTACAAGTTAAATATTTTTTTACTCCAAATATTTTAAAACTATTAAAACGTTTCAATAACAGTGAACTATTTATTATATATTAATACGCTTACCTGCCTTAAATTAAGTAAGAGGCCGGTCAAACAGTCAATCACTTCTTTTATAGAAAATGTTTTTAAGTAATCTTCGTTATGTAGTTTAGTTACAGATTTATCAAAACCGATTTATTCCATCATTTTTATAATTTTGTAGGGCAATTAAACTGTAAAATTATTGGAACTAAATCTAAAAATCACAGTCAATTTGAAATTATGAAAATTTAAAAATTATGAATACTGAGTAAAAAAACAATAAAGATTTCGATAAACCTTCCTAAAGGCAAAGTAAATTTAGTTACTGTTTTTTTACTACTTATGTTATCCAATTAAACTTTTTTCAATACGTAATATAAGTATCTTTTCTGAGAAGCAACACTGAATGTCAGGACCTAATATAGTCAAATGATCTACCCACATACCTAATACTTGACGTCATATTAAGTATAACTGAACAATACCTAACAAGCATAAGTTATACACAACAATTTAATTATGTGACTAAAGAACTGAGTAAAATATATTTTTACAACAATGAAGTTATTATGCTTATAAACCAACTTGACTTACATCTCCATTAATAGTAGATAGTATCTTGTGTAATTTATATTTAAAAAATATATTTGTAAATTTTACCCTTTACTTAAAACTTGCATATAAATCTTATATTGACCATAGTAACTCTAAATATAAAATAAAATAAAATAAGATTTTTATCGATATATATAAAAGAGATTTCCACCTATACATATATTGACTCATCACGATATCTCTGGAACCATAAGGCGGTAGCGACTTGAAATTTGGTAGGATTATTCCTTTCGCCGAGTAGAGGTCAGATAAGAACGGATTTTACGAAATTCCACCCAATTAAATAACTCAAAGTAAATAACGAAAAATACGATTTTAATGAAATTTGGTACAGAGATAGAGTTGACCTTGAAAAAGAACATAGGATAGTTTTTATTCCAGACTTTTGAAAAGTTCTCTTGGTAACGCGATATAACCGGACTCCACGCGGGCGATGCTGCGGGCGGAAAGCTAGTATAGTATAAAATTAATACTGCATTTTGGAATAGTATTAGAAAGGTTTAGTATATATGAAGGATAAAAAGGTAATTGAATAGAAAACTAAAATAAGTCGTTTAATTATAGTAATATATTTTTCAGTGAAAAATTTTACGAAGTCGTGAGTCTTGTAAGTTTTGATTCAAAAAAATACTTATAAAACTGCTTCACAAAACTGATTAAATAAAAGATATGTAATTACTAAATTATAAATATTATAACTATAATATCATATATTTTGTTATTTATTTGAAATGTGTTATTGTGTTTCAAATAAAATATTTCTTTCTTTCTCCCATATAAGATATCTAACGCTCCAAGTAGGGCTAGCAATGATAAAGTGTTAAGTTTCAATGTATGTGACTAGTTGCAAGGGATTATTTTAGAGGCTATTGCATACATTATCAACAAAACTATTATACATTTTTTATTCTTTTACATAACTTTTATTGTAGGCTATGAGCACAGCGACCACTACCACGAGTTAACTCGAGCTCACGACAAGTCCGATCTTAACGAGTATGCGTATGATGGTAATATTTAAACTTGCTAAAAATACCGCATAAAAATAAGAAATATATAATTATAATTTCATACTTTAATAAAATTTTCTATGAAATAACTTTAGCGCGGCAGTCTTCGAGTGCTATAGGTATTAATCTTTTATTCCTTTTTGTTATATCATTCAAACAAGCGTTGCCAGAGAAAAATAAAAGTTGACGTTGGTATAATTGTATAAAAAGTAGTCAATTTGTAAGTTTCGTAGTCGAGCGAGAGTTTACTGAAAACAATTTGTTCGTTCATAAGATACTGAACAATATAAAGTTTTAAAAATATTTTATTTTAGTATTTTAATAATAAACTTATTGGACGAACTTCTCATCATTTCATGGATTCACGGTGCGGGTGCCGGGTCCTTGCTTGCTTGCGTCTTGCAGTTAGGACTGAGTGTCATTTCAGGGAGTAGGTATAGGAGTTCGGTGTATACGCTTAGGGATTCTATGAGTCACAAAGAATATATGATTGTTTTTTGTAAAATTGGACTTATGTGAATTACGAACACTAGGTACCATATACAAACGTACATAGGAAATAAAAATATGCAATAAAAGAAAAGGGAGTACATCCCCAGTTTCAACCTTCGGCATTGTGTGTAATAGTAAGCAGTGCCTAGTCGGCATCATCAAAGGTCGGGTGCTGAACTCTCAAAGAAATTTTGCGGCTATTCGGAAGTACAAGGTCAAGATACACGTGCGGCGGCTTCTTTTGCGCATACAAACAATCGTCGCCGCCGCACCGAACGCACTATATTTGACACTATTTGATTGCCGACAAAAATGCTTGAATAAGCAAATAAAAAATAATACATTAAATATAGTAAGCATCAAACTTTATTGAAGTATCGAAATAACAAAAACGAAAAATTAACTATATACAATATATGTGTAATCAAATCAAATGCGTAATCAAATTATATAGTACGTTACCGAGAAAATGTTTATTTTCTTAATATTTCAAACGTTTAAATCTAGCTTTTAATAATCATTAATAAGGTTATCTTTTTAATTATTATTGAATTGTTTGATTTGGGGCGGTATCCTTTTACTTAGAGCCGACAAGTGCCAAAGCGGCGCGATACAAGGCGACATTATGTAAACAAATGGAGTATGTTTAAATAGAAGTATGTATTTGTTTTAACCTTCGGCATACAAGGTGGGGTTATTTTAACCCCAACACTTTTAAATTGTGTTGATTTTATATTAAAACGAAACTAAACAACTTGATTTTCACAGTAGCTGGAGATTAAATATTGCCGCGTTAAATCACAGCGTCGGATCAGTGTTGCGCGCGCCAGCGCCGTGTGTACACGCGCCCAAAGTGGTTCCCGGGTGTTTTTAACCCCACGTTGTATGGGTCGTCGTGAAAAAAGTTTGTACCTACTTATGTGTTTTTTATGTTTTTACAGCTACAATAAGTGTTTTATTTATACTTTTTTATTTTTAATTCAGGTATAGATCGTCAATATGAATAATAACCTGCGGGATGATAGTATTGCTGCGGCCTTATTGGAAGAAAATGAATCTTTGTCGGATGATGAAATCTTTCTGCCTTCTAGTGATGACGAATCGGATCATATCAGCGAAGCTTCTGAAGTTCCAAGTGATACGGACGTGGAAGATGCCGAAATAAACATTGAACCACATTCAGATGATACGACATCAACACTTCAACCATTTTATCTAGGAAAAGATGGAAGAACAAAGTGGTATAAATCGCCACCGCGAACCAATGTTCGAACAAGGGCCGAAAATCTTATTACTCATTTGCCTGGATGTAAATATGCAGCTCGACATAAAAAAACTCACCAAGAATGCTTCGAGACCTTTTTCACTGATGAAATCGTTGACATTGTTTTGAAGAATACGAACCAGAAGATTTCTTTGAGAATGGAGAACTCTACGTCTAATTCAACATACGGGGAAACTGACAAAGCTGAGATAAAAGCCGTTTTTGGGCTGTTGTTCTTGGCAGGGTTGTTTAGATCTGGTCGGCAAAGTCTTATAGACTTATGGAGTAATGACGGCACAGGAATTGAAGTATTTAGAAATACTATGACGAGGCAAAGATTTTCGTTTTTGATAAATAGCTTGAGATTTGATGATTCATCAACTCGTACAGCTAGAGTGGCTGACGATCGCTTGGCTCCAATTCGAGATATTTTTGAAATATTCGTCAAAAACTGTCAGAATGCCTATACACCGTATGAATACTTGACCATAGATGAAGAACTCGTGGCATTTAGAGGAAGATGTAGCTTTCGTCAGTACATACCATCCAAGCCAGCTAAGTATGGGTTGAAAATTTACGCGTTAGTGGATGCTAAAACATTTTACACAATGAACTTGGAAATTTATTGTGGAAAACAGCCTGACAACAGTCCTTATACAGTGAGTAATAAGCCTTTTGATGTTGTCGATCGTTTGGTGAGATGCGTGTCTGGATCAGGAAGAAACATCACCATGGATAACTTTTTTATGAGTTATGAAACAGCTGAAAATTTGCTCAAAAACCACAAATTGACTGCCGTTGGTACACTAAGGTCGAACAAGACATGCATTCCACTCCAGTTCAAGGCTCGACGTGAAGAAAAATCATCTGTTTTTTGGATTTCAAAAAGACATTACTATTGTATCCTACATACCAAAGCCGCGAAAATGTGTACATATGATGTCCTCATTACATCATGATGATGAGGTGGATCCAGAAAGCGGAGACCAAAGAAAACCGTCTATCATCACATTTTACAACTCGACAAAAAGTGGAGTTGATGTAGTTGATAAACTTGCGAGAACATACGATGTCTCCCGCAACTGTAAGCGCTGGCCTCTTACCGTATTCTTTTCCATGTTGAACCATGCTGGTATAAATGGTTTTATTGTGTTTATGCTGAATAATGGCATTGAAAGGAACAAAACCAATCTAAGGAAGAACTTTATCAAGCGATTGGGACTTTCTTTAATCGAAGAGCACCTCAGGAAAAGAAAGGATAATCCACATATACCACGAGAAATAAGAAGACGTGTGTGTGAAATGCTGAATGAAGAAGCTCCAGCACCACCACAAAAGCAACCAAGAAGGTCTCAGCGATGTTCTTTCTGTCCAAGAAACAAAGATAGGAAGACTCTGAACGGATGTTTCAAATGTAATGTCGCGATATGCAAGGAACATGCGAATTTGATGTGTCAAAATTGTACTGATTTACATGACGAATGATCTCGCTCAAATAGCCATAAAGAGCTAATTGTGATGTTTTTTATAAAGCCAAATATAGTTAGTTTTAGTATAATAAGTAAAATAATTAAGATAAGTATGAGAAATATTTTTGTTAATTTTTTATTCCACCTAATAACATTTTGTAAGATTTATGGAAAGGTTATGTAATTTTTAAGTTTTTTTTATAATAAATGTTTAATTTGCTACTTTTTGTACTTCATTAATTAGATTTAATTATACCCGTCACAAAAAACCCATTCAAACTTATTACATAAGATTTACACACAGATTAGAGATAATCTCTTGTGGGGTTAATTTTACCCCACGTTGTATAGGTGAGGATTTTTTTTCACCTTGTATGCCGAAGGTTAATTTCAAATACAGTAGAAACTCGATTAAGAGAATTAATCGTTGTCGATAGATGTGGCGTAGCCTATCTTTCTTATGTGATTTGTATTTCTATGTTTTAATTATTTTTTTATTAATTTAATTATTTCAACGGACAGAAAAAGTCGTTAACTAGTTTGTATATACGTAAATTAGACTCCGCCCCATAGCGGGGCGACGTCCACCCGCGGGCCCTGCGGCCGGCCAGCCGTCGCTTCACAACTATAATAATTAATTGTTTAGTACGCTCCAGCTTCCGGGTCCGACTGTACGTCGCTCGTATGCTCGCTGGCCTATTACATAATATGTACCTGCATCTTCAACGTATAGTAAAGTCTCTTATCGTTTGCTTAAAAACTTAAAGTAGCGATACTAAACTGGTGACCCCAACGTGATATGAACAAATAGGCATTCGGATAATCGAAAACCCGATAATCGAATGTATGAAGAAATGCGGGTTTTATACATATATAGTACATAATGTTATATGTTTATTTAAAAAAAGTAATAAATACATATCAACGATAATCAGTGTTTGTTAATAAATAATTACTCGTAAAGGATACATTTTCTTAGATTACATATACTTACTTGTATGTATTAAAAATGCAGATTTAATAATGAAATTTTGCAATTGGTAACCATGAATTAAAATAATAAGTTTAATTTGCTTTAAATATTTGGTAATTGTCATTTGACGTACGCCACTCTCAACAATGCACCACTCTCTCACTCTTTGACGTTTTTAAACGGTTTTATTTAGCTCACCCCGTTTGTTTTATTATTTACTAGCTTTTGCCCGCGACTTCGTCTGCGTGGAATAATGACTTCCATCAGATTTTTGGTTCTTCCCACATAGTTCCCGTTCTTGCGGGGTTTTCGGAATGATCGAGTTCCCGTAGAATTTTCAGGATATAACCTATGTTTTTTTTATTCACAATGAAGTACTCTTAACCAACAATATATTTATTTGTTTATTTGAATAAAAGGATCCTTTTCATGTAATAGAGCTCTGGCCAACGGAGTCTGACGCTATTGTGAAGGCACCCACAATTGACCGATACCATTGTTTCAGTACGTGGACCATGAAATATTGTGGGAAATCTTCACAACCATATATTTAACATGGCATACAAAAGTGGCGTTTGAACAAAACAATTCATATGGTGAATTTCAGTTGCATACTATACATTTATAGAATTGAATAACTAAATAAATGCTATAAATAAAACTTTAACGTTTATTCGTAATAACAGACTTTAAAAATATTGTTTTTTAATGAAAAATAATCAATAATGATTTGATTGATATGAAATAAAAATATATTTTTTATTTATTTTGTTTATATAAATAATATATTCCTAGCGATTATTTAGAGAAATATCTTAAGTCGACTTTAATGCTTGGCATAAAAGTTCAAAGTAAAATGATGGGGGGTAATGCCTAATTTTTAAATGTCGCCTTCGCTCTATCAAATCAGTTCCACAGTTTATGCATCTCAGAGATACGGATTGGTAGGAAGTCACTTCTTCTGTGTGCAGACTATCATGAGACACGCTTTGGTTTTGTTCAATGTCCATATTAAAGCCGTGGTTAGCGATGGAGCTAGTTTCGGGGTCCATATTACGTGAGTGTTGGTCATCGTTTATTTTATGATTGGAGTCCATAATACAAAAGCCAGGGTCATCGTTTGAGCCAAATTCGGGGTCCGTAGATGAGCAGGGGTCATTGGAAAAAGATAGGTCGGAGTTCATAATGAATAAACAATCGTTGAAAGAAAATCCACAATAATTTAACACTCTCAATGTAGGTAAACAAGTGAATATAAACAATCAGTCTGTGACATATCAATGTCAATTAGTATTTTTTTTATTTTATTAGTGTTGCAACAGAAAAAAATCATAAAATAATCGATCCAAAACAGATATGATTACGTTTAACATTCTTCATATTTCAGTTTTTAAAACGTTTTAAATGACGAATCTAATTAAAAACAATTTTTTTTTTGTATTAAATACTTATAGTTGTATTAAGTACTGCGAGATGATTCGATTTGACGCAATCGTTAATTGATCTTGCTGGAAACACAAAACGTGGATCAATAAAGCAAAACAAAGAAGATACTTTAAAAATATGTTTTCAATAAAATACAAATGTACACTCAAACAACAATAGAATGGCTAGCTAAAAAAAAATATTTTTTTTCATAAACTTGTTTTTTTGATAGCAGCTTGTTCTCGCTAGGCCAAAAATGGACATTGCCCTTTTATCCATAAAGTTCTACAACCTTTTTATAACGTTTCCTTTCTTTCAGTTTTCGAATATTGTCTTTAAAATTATCGCAAAAAAAAATTATTGTCTGGCCTTAATTATTATGAATTTATTAGCAAAACTACCGAAATTCACCTTGCATGTTTCTTTCATAATCAATTCTAATAATTCTATTTGCAAACACATAATTATTACTGCCAAAACCGTATAACCGCATAATTTGTCCGTTTTAAACCAATTTACTTTGAATTTGAATTTAAATTGAAGTTGTTTTTATATCAACAAAAAGCACAACATAATTAAATAAAACTGTGCTTTAAGACAAACAAGATAAGTCAACACTCCCTCCACCGGTGTTATGACAACAAGTTTGAAAGAGATTGCTCTGTTAAGAAATTGCTCCCGACAATAGTTTGTGATGCCAAAGTTTAATGTTTTTGAAGTGTTTGCAAATGATAACTATTACTAGTAATTTCCCGCGGCTTCTTTCTACTTCTATATAATTATTTAGATCTTTTCAATATATTTATTACTTAGATTATTTAGAGCTCATGATTCTATTATAGTTTTATTGTGTATCAATCATTATAAATATAACATTTACAATAGGATCTCTGACATTTTATGCTCGTGAAGTTCCTTAATACGTACATATATTGTCTCTAAATGTCAAATATAATTACACTGATATTCTATTTTAAAATTAACGTATCAATTAATAATTTTCGATAATGACCCTTTCGTTATATCTATGTATTTCGTAAAAAAGTACTGCCCCAAATAAGTTTCATGATATTCTTATCAATGCTATATACTTATAAACAATCATTCGTTAATTTATTCATATACATTTTCTTAGTAGTCCAAATAGTTAAGATTTCTTTGAAATGTTTTAATGCTATTACATCACTACTACAAAATAAGTTAGTACTGAAATTGCCTCTTATTTTATGTTATACAAGATCAAAGTCGGCTACTTTCCCTATTTGGTTAAACCAAGCCGTTTCTGTACGCATTCCCTCTGAAGGCACTTAGAAATGCTCTTGTTTATTTAACTTAGGACTAGTGATTATGTATTTCGTTTGAGAAAAACCGTTTTGCTGATCCCAAAATTGAATAGGATAAGTAAAAATAGAATTTGAATTACACGAGGAGAATTATTGTATTTTATTCGTATACTAAGGATACGTAGGAGTGTACAACAATAAGAAACGATGAGGAAATATTTATCAATCGCTTAAATCTAAACAATTTTTTTCTAGAAGGAGGCTATTATAGTCCTTGATTATATATATTTATGACGACCGTATATATTTTTTACTGTAAGAGATAAATCATTTTTTTTTAATATAATATATTTATGATTAAATTATTATCTTAATAATATAATATTCTTCTTTTATTAATATATCACACATTTATAAAACAAAGCCTTTCATTGATCTTTCAAAGAAAAACGTTGGTAACATTTAATTGAAATTTAGAATAATTTTTACGATTTGCTTGTCGGTATATAAATGTTTATTACAAAATTCGTAGCGATTTAAGTAAAAGTATTAGTTAGAATTGATTATTGTTGAGTACATTTCATTATTAAAATTTAACAGAATATTATTGGTGTAAGTAACTAGGACAATATTTGTCCAAATAGCACAAACACGACATCCACACTTGGCACGCCAATAACACGTATTTTCGCTTATTTGTTTCTTATTTATGCAAGTATGTCAAATGAATACGAATAAATCCTCCATACATGGTCTTATTTGGCCAAACACAATAAATAAACTCCAAGTAAAGTGCCACCTTAAAGTTATGTTTTGCAGTTATAAATTTTTTAAAGTACTATTATATTTAAATGAAACTAATATTTTCGGATTTACTATACATTTATTTTTTAATATAAACTACATACTCCCGACGTTTAGGTTTCTTTACAGCAGCTGTGATCACGGGCAGACAAGATATTTAGTTCCTTTTAAAAGAATACTCGCGAAAATCTTAGATCTAATTACTATTACATATATTTATTTCATTTTCGTATATATTTCATAACAAACATAATTTTAATTCTAATTGTGTCGTAATTCACCATTCAGTTATTGATTTTATGATTAACGTTTCACTTGAACGTTTAACTTTCAAGGTTACTCAAATCGTTTTGAGATCTGACCCGTGATGAACGTAAAGTTTGAGAAATGTATTTTATTATACTCAATTAAAATGGAAGAAACGTCGTATTTACTTGTAACTCAGTTATTTATGATTTAATATTTTTTAATAATTTTAATTCATCTGACGCCCAAGTTATTTATATTATAATATTGGATTAAGTGCATACA